CAGCTACTCGGGAGGCTGATTCAGGAGAATCGCTTAAGCCCAAGAGGCAGAGGTTACAATGAGCCGAGATCACACCACTGCACTCCAGCCTAGGCGACAGAGTGAGACTCTGTCTCCAAATAAATACATAAATGTAACCAAATGACTTACAGGGGTGCTGTCTTAAATTCTATCAGGAAAGCATCTACCTAAATGTAACCAATGTGAGATAAACTTATATTTTGGAAACTAATATGTAAAGGAAGAAACATCTTTAAAGGTAATAATAAGGCTGTTGCAAGCATTCACAATAGCAGCTCATATGAGCATTATCTACAAATCAGGCACTATACTAAGTTTTATATATATATATAACCACTTTACTGATTTCTCTCTCCATTTTACAGGTGAAGAAATCAGAGGCAAAGAGGAGTTAAGAATGTGGCCTCAAGGCCATATAGCTTGTAAAGGGGGAATGGAATCTACCCAACTCCAGAAGACGCTTTTGGCTTCGCTAATTCACTGCTGCATCTTCAGGTTTCACATGCTTTCCAGCCTGCTTCAAAGACATCTTCCTAGAACTGAATGATACTATTCCTTAAGAAACACTACTCCCAGTTTCTACTTTTGTACCTATCAAGCAACTTCCCAATATTTTGTTTTCCCATATTCCGATATTCTGTTTTCCCAAGCCCATTTTCTACTTGGAAAAAGAGGAACTGACCAGTTAAATGGAGTAAAGACTAGGCATGCTGATTTTGAACATAAATTTGGTTCATGTGATGAACCATGGAGGCACCAGTATCCTTTTCTAGGGATCAACATAATAGAGGAAAAGTCACCAAGTCAGGCATCAATCCTACACAAGACCACGAATGCTAAACCAACTCTACACCTAGAACAAACTTGTCGAATCTCTGTCCCGCAAGCCACATGTGGCCCAGGACGGCTTTGAATGCGGCCCAACACAAACTCGTCAACTTTCTTAAAACACTATGAGATTTTTTTGTGTGTGTGATTTTTTTTTGAAGCTCACCAGCTATCATTAGTGTTAGTGTATTTTATTTGTGGCCCAAGGCAATTATTCTTCCAAGGTGGCCCAGGGAAGTCACAAGGTTGGACATCCCTGACCTAGAATGTAAAAAAGAAAAAGAAAAAGGAAACACAAGCTACTATTAGTATTAGAAAAATATGGATGGTAGCACTACTACTACATACGTAGCTAGAAGAACTCTTAGCAGCCTTCTTTCTCCAGTGGGAAAAATTAAAATATATTATGCAAATGTCAAGTGTTTTCATTTAAAAGGAAGATTAAAATATAATGGGCAGAATTATTACACAGTTAAGAAAAAACTATATTACCTGATTAAGTGGAAGGGGTATATTGCTTCAGAACTAACTTTATTTTGGAAATACTGGACAAGTGGCAGGTCTTACTGATGGATTAGAGTTTCTTCCCCCTACCTCGCCTTCTATATTCTGTAATACTTGAAGACTTAATATTTTGAGAAAGGCCAAAATTTGGAATGTGCCTCTTGGGTTCCTCCATAAAGGCTGGCCTGCCAATTCTTATTATTAATAGATTCATAGTCTTGAACAGGAAAAATCAGTAGACTCTTTGGTTTACACAAACCTTGCCAATTTTTCTACACCCTAAATGTCTGAAGGTTTACTGGTAACTCCTATTTGTCTTCCATAGTGGTATCCTATCTTTCTCTTCCAAGTTTCATTTTCTGTCTTCTAGATGACGTCAGCAGTGGTGATTCTCGGAGGAAGGTATAACTGGAGGGCATGCACTAGGAACACCAAAAAATGGGAACTTGGCCAATTCAAAGCTGGAAAGTAGTACTGAGAAGAATGTATATAATGACATCTATCTTTCCCATAAAGACAGGAGAACTGAGACCATATATTTAGGACACAGGTTTTGGTGAGGTCAAGAAAGTAAAAAAAGGATGGAAGATCTTTTGGAAAACACAATGAATGGCAGCTTTCCATAGAGACCTACGAAGCACAAATTTCACATAGCAAAAAAGGGTAAGAAAGAACTACAGCTAACTCACATTTTCTTTTTTAAAAAAATTTAAACTGCCTCAATTTGCTATAATTTTCTTAGCCAATCCCTTCTTTTCTGAAAATACAGCTCAACTTCAACCTAGTCCCTTCCGATAATCACAAATTCTGAGTTAACAGTGTTTCAGGATTTCAGGATCTGTTACTTCTTCTCAATTATTCCTTTTTTTTTTTTTTCCAGATGGAGTGTCACTCTGTCACCCAGGCTGGAGTGCAGTGGCATGATCTCGGCTCACTGCAACCTCTGCCTCCTGGGTTCAAGTGATTCTCCTGCCTCAGCCTCCTGAGCAGCTGGGATCACAGGCATGTGCCACCACACCCAGCTAATTTTTGCATTTTTAGTAGAGACAGGGTTTCTCCATGTTGGTCAGGCTGGTCTCGAACTCCTGACCTCAAGTGATCTGCCCACCTCGGCCTCCTAAAGTCCTGAGATTACAGGTGTGAGGCACTGTGCCCAGCCATCTCAATTATTCCTACATGATGGTTGAGAGAAAGGAAGAAGGATAGACCAGTTACAGGACAAAAAGTATTGGGCAACAAACGGTAGGCATAAAAAGAAAGACCGGGTGTGGTGGTTCACACCTCCAACCCCAGCACTTTGGGAAGCTGAGGTGGGAGGATAGCTTGAGGCAAGGAGTTCAAGACTAGGCTGGGCAACATAGCAACACTTTCTCTCTACAAAATATAAAAATAAATACATATTTTAAAAAAGAAGACAAAAATAATAGATAAGTGTGTTTATGTTTGTGCATATGCTACATATGTAAGTCACCAGATGGGCTGGGATCAACTGTATGAAAGGGAAAACAAGGTTTATCCCAGCAAATTTGTCAAAGCCTGCAGGTCCCACAAGAACCTACTATGGAGGATATTTTTGTTCCGATCATCTCAAGCTGGAGTCAACTTTGTAATGTAAATGTCAAACTCTGGTTGTTTGTACGGTTTATTTTAAGAAGACAACAAGGTTCTTCGACCTTGGGCAGCAACCACAGAGACACTCAAAGATTGATGCACTCTGATATCTGTTGCAAGTATGTGTAACTCATCAATATTTGTTACAGATATCAGCAAAATGGCCCTTTCAGTACTTAAAAAAAAATTACAGAGTAACAGTATCTTCATGCTGAAAACGATCATTAAGATTACCTAATCAGCCCCCTTTTCGCAAGGATTGGAGAAATTGAAGCTAAAAGGGGAATTTGCACAACGTGAACAAAACAGAAAGAGCATAAATGAAATCTTGGATTTCAAAGCAGAGAATTAAAGAAAATCAAACCAAAGAAAATAAAAGGCTTTTAAAAAGAAAAACGTATTTTAGCTCCATTTTTTTTCCACAGAAAATCACAAACTATATCCTCTCCCTCTTGCAGAAGAGGATTCACATCATGTCAATTAGGTCTTTTTGAGATACACACTCATTCCTTCAGGCAGACACACTACCATACTGTTCTTTTCTTTTACATTCAACTTTAAATCCCGTAATCTAACTGAAGTCTTTTCACAATTAATTATTGCACAAGTTCAGCAAGTTAAGCATGTTTATTAATTCCCATCACACTAGAAAAAAAGTTAGAGGCAGCATAATCTAAATTTAAAGTGACATTTCATTTAGAAGATAGAAAATTAGAGGTAGATACCTTGGAATTTTTATTGTCTCTAAGACCACCTCCCCTTCAACCCCGCCAAAAGGAAGGGATACTAGCAATCTAGAAAAAAATATGCGTGGAGAGGCTTAGGATCTGCATCATCAAGCACTATCAGTGGTTCTCAGCAGTACTCACTGGTTGCATGTCAGAACCAAGGAGATGTAAAATATATGTTTTAGAGATAACCTAAAACCTGTTCTAAAGAACTCCAACGACAGTCAACATACCTACTCAAGCAAGAGGGAAAGAAATAATATTGTACACAACCCTAGATTCATTCAGTATGTCTCCCATGTGTATTGACAGTCAGCTTGTATATCTGGGAAGATGAGAGGGGACAATCTGGTATCACTCATTTACTAGAGGAGAAAACTTAAATTCTAAAAGATTCAATGGCTTATACAGGTCCTTCTGAAAATGAAAAATTTCCATTTAGAGACTGTTCTTCTGCAAAGCTATCTGATCCATTGACACCACGAAGGAGAGCTGATGCCACCCAGATATTTCTTCTGGTGTTAATTAATATGACTTCCTGGTTAGTAAGTTTTTGCTGCTTTAGAACTTGATCCAACAATTAAACTGACAAAACTGTTTCAAACCTGTAAAGCTGCTGACACATATACCATGCAAATTCCATTAATGGGAGACGCCTGGATGTCCAGCTTGAAATACCTGGCTATCTACCACAATGAAAAAATTCTGAGTTATGTATAAATAAGTTGATTTATTCATTCACATTATATTCTCTACCCCACTTCCTCTCTCCCTTCACCTACCTCTTCATTCCTCCAACCCAATGGTATGGAGCAGGAGTTGGCAACCATTTTCTGTAAAGGGTCAGATGGTAAATAGTTTGGCCTTTGTTGGCTCTGCCTTTGTAGCACAAAAGTAGCCACAGACAATCCATAAATGAATGAGTGTGGCTATATTCCAAAAAAACTTCATTTACAAAAACAGATTCAGCTTGCAGAGCTATAGTTTGCCAACCCTGGTTTGAAGAAGCAATTTTCAAACTTTAGCCTGAATCACAATCACACAGGCTTGTTAAAATACAGACCTCTGGGCCTCATCCTTAAGTTTCTGATTCAATAGCCCTGTCACGGGGCCTGAGATTTTAATAAGCTCCCAAGCAATGCTGATGCTGCTGGTCCAGGGACCACACTTTGAGAACCACTAGTACAAAACAATGGTCTATACTACATTCAGTGGAAGGTTAAAATGTAACCAACAATCAAGAATGTAGAAATGACATGCTGCAAACTTGACTGCTAATTTCATAGAATATTTCATATGAAGACTTACTGTTAAGTGCCATAATATTATCTGTTCCTGGATGATGGAAATTTATCCCCATGCGTCCTAAAAAATAAAATAATTTTAAGCACAAAGAATGCTTAATGTAATCATTTCAAATACACCTTAAAATATAAACATTACAAAAATCTAAAATTGATTGCAATCTATAACAGATGCTATCAAGGCCAAGAGTACAACAGCTTTTAAAAATTTAAGCAGCCATAAAACATACACATGGAAAGTCTTAAAGCAAAGTTTCAACAACAAATAAATAAACAAAACAAAAAAGAAGCTCTGTTATAATAGTCTAAAATTTAACACATCTCCTGCCATTCCAATTTAAACATGCCAACTCTTTGGATTAAGCCATTTTATTTAAACAACCATTTATACTGTTCTTCCATTTCAAGCAGCAAAAAAAAAAAAAAAAAAAAAAGATTCAAACAAGTATATAAATTTGAAGCTTTAGAGGAGAATAAAAGACATAGTGGCTTAAAAATGCAACATAATAATCAGAATGGCAACCAGAAGGAAGATGGTAAATTGTTATATAAGAGATAGAAGGGGGAAAATGATTGGCCTAAAAATCTAGGGTTCTGGTGGCTCTCCTCACCACTAACTAGTTATATGACCTGAATATAATGCCAATTTCCATGATTCATCCTAAGTTTTATAACAGAGTTGCAAACTTCTGCTGACATGGCTGGCTTCCTGTTTTTGTATGCCTCTGATTAAGCATCATATTTACATTTAGAAAGGGCTGAACACACAAACCAAACCAAAATTAAAACAAAGAACAATATATGACAGAGACCATGTGGCCCGTAAAGCCTAAAATCCTTTACCTTAGCACTTCACAACTTTTGTCAACCCCTGTCCTGTGAAAGTTAAGTCAAACAGATTCTTCAACTAATGGCCCTGGGGCAAGAATGGAAGATGCAGACATTTTTGTTATGTCTTTTTCATTAATTATTTGGGACAAGGAGGTAGATGTATCAAAAGAAAAATTAGAGAGGAGTCTTATATGAAAAAAAATGTACTTAGAAAACTTTTCTTGACCAAATTCCTTCAACAAAATACTTATTGAAACAATGCTTTTGTTTAAAGCTAGTATCCTATAAACTTGGCTCTGCAAGGTTTTAATGTTCAATTATGTCAAGGGTTATCATGAAATTCTCAAAAAAATGTTAATCTTATTTCACTACCATTGTTTAAATAAATGTCAACAGTATACTTGGGGAGAAAGTAGTACAGAAAAAGTGGAGATAAGGTTAAAATGATTGATTTTTACAACATATATACTTTTATATTACATAATTGCAAAAGAGTCAGTCATCATTTGATAGTAAACTCTGTTATGGGGGACTGGAGGCAAATAGCATTATTAAGTTCTTTTTGCCCAAAAGGAAAGCATCATAGTAGACAAAACAGAGCATCTGCCTTAAATAAAAAGGGAGAATCATGAAACAAATCCTAAACAAATGAATTTTTGCCTAGACAGGACCATCCTGATTTCTTATGTCTCCCCAGGCTACGATAATTTGTAAAGGTCATTTCATATTAACAGGTAGGGAAGGCCAGGCGCAGTGGTTCATGCCTGTAATCCCAGCCACTTTGGAGGGAGTGAATCATCTGAGGTCAGGAGTTCGGACCGGCCTGGCCGACATGGTGAAACCCGCTGCTCTTACTAAAAATTACAAAAATTAGCTGGGGTGTGGTGGGTGGTGCCTGTAATCCCAGCTACTCAGGAGGCTGAGGCAGGAGAATCACTTGAACTCAGAATGCAGAGCGTTGTAGTGAGCCAAGATTGTGGCCACTGTACTCCAGCCAGGGAGTCAGAGAGCAAGCACTCCATCTCAAAAAAAAAAAAGTGGCAGGGAAAAACAAAATCCTCGCAAGCGAAGCATCACTTGTATTGGTGTGTATGTATGTACTGAAGAATGAGAAAATCTTAAATACATCCATAAATAAGAAAATCCACCAGAATTCGATGGATTCTGATGAAACTGTTCTAACTTTATGATGAAGCATTATAGAGCTTTCAATGAAAAAATTTAGTTTTTATTATTTCAAACCTTATTAGGAGAAAAATGTTTCATCTCTCTCTGGTTTTGCAGAGACAATTTTGCTAGCATTTGTAATATAGTAAAATTATTTTCTTAGATTAGATCATGTTTTCTATTAAAAAGCCATATGAGTAAAGAATCATCTAAGAGAATCATCTATTTTATTTTTATAGATTTCATAAACCTTTTCATATTTACTAGAAGCTAACTATTAGGAATTTCAAAAACTACCCCATTGTTAAAAGATACATGTACTGTATCTATATGTAATTGTTCAATGTGCCTGACATTTTTTCAGTTCCTAAGTCATTTTAGAGTCCCTGAAAATTATAGTCAGCAACGAGTGTTATCTCCTACCACTACCTTTATCAGAACATATAATAGGAAAAACTGTCACCAGAACAAGGCTTTGACTCAGTAGGGAGAAAGCATATTCTCATTTCAGTTAGCTATCTCAATGTCCTTGCCATCATTTCTGGATAATCAAGACCTTATTTGGATTCATTATCATGAAATACCAATATCCATGAAAACTAGATATGATTTACTCTAAACCAGCGTTCATCCTTTTCTGGGGTATTCAAATATAACAGTAATTAGCCAGTTACTGGAAAGTCTACCTAAAAGCCCATCAAGGCTTCAAAATCACTGCCCATCAGAACTTAAGGAAACCGTATATATGGAGGATCTTTTCAAACTCCAACCAAGGAATATTTAGAGGAGGGTGTGCTGTCTAAAAAGTTAGCAATATTCCCTAAATATTCCTAGAAGAATAATAAAGGTTATCAAGGAAATCATGCAAGCCTGAATTTAACTGATCTTTATTTGACTTCTTTTCTTTCCTGTGTCTACAACCATGTATAGTAAAGAATTATGTAGTTTACAACCACTATATCAAATAAAGTTTTTACATGTTCCTATAACTACCTAGTTTCCCAAACATAAAGGGGTACCCTTTTTGTCCTCCAGAAGTTAAACATACCTGCATGGATCCTTTTTGACCCTTTCCATGAGCTCCTAGAACTTTTCAGCTTAGAAAGATGAAATTGAAAGGAAGCTTGGTAGTTTTCAAATTATCATTCTCTATCTTACACTGATTACTTCCAACCTAAACTTTCTTATGATGCATTAAAATGAGAGGCTTAGGCAGTGTTTTACAGATTGAAGGTATCACTAATTGATGAAAAGCAGAACACTTTTTACCTTTCCTGGTATTCTCTCTAATTCTTTGACCTCTTTGACTTCAACAGGTCTCTGGATGAAAGCTAGCAACAAAAGATTTTATAAGAAACTCCAGGTTGGGCACCGTGGCTCACGCCTGTAATCCCAACACTTTGGGAGGCCGAGGCGGTCAGATCACGAGATCAAGAGATGGACACCATCCTGGCCAACATGGTGAAATCCCATCTCTACTAAAAATACAAAAAAATTAGCTGGGTGTGGTGGCATGCGCCTGTAGTCCCAGCTACTCAGCAGGCTGAGGTAGGAGAATCACTTGAACCTGGGAGGTGGAGGTTGCAGTGAGCCGAGATCGTGTCATGGCACCCCAGCCTGGCGACAGAGCAAGACTCCGTCTCAAAAAGAAAAAAAAAAAAAGACAAGACAAGAAACTCTGGGTCAAGAAAGCCATATCCATCAGAATCAATTATCTAAATATAATCTAATTTTTCCAACTAGTAATGTAATTTTTTAAAGTAAAATCACTCACAGCATCTTTAAGCTAGTTTCTTAACCTCTTCCAAAAGTAATTTTTAGATTATAAAATGCAATGCATTTTCATTGGAGAAAAATCACATAATGCAGAAAAATGGAGAAAAGAAGCTCACCAAAGATAAGCACTGTTAACATCTTGATTTACAGTCTTCCAGGTTAGGGAGTGTATATGTGTAAAGATTTCTTTTCTAAAATTGAAATTATTTCATAATTTTTAACTTAATATATTGTATATCTTAAGTTTTACAGTTATTAAGGAATTTTGGAGGAAAATAAAATATATAACAGCAAAAGAAAAACCGATTCCAAATTCAGAAAAGGCCATTTCTTTTTTATTCCTTTTGTCCAACAAATACTGCTGTTTAATCAGCTGTGAAAATAGAATCAAGTGTGTGACATCTGGTGATTTTTGTATAATGCAGTCTAGTGCTGCCAGCATGACATTTTGTCACCTGTCCATGGTCTGCTATTTTTAAATTGTTCTTGTCAGCTAGCGATCTTTTAAGTATAGTGTAAAATATAAGGTTTCAAAAACTGGAAGGCATACTTGGTTTTACTGAGTTAAATGATGCTGTGGAAATCTGAGACTGTGTCCCACTTTTCCCACTGCACAGGATCTGATAAATAGGGGTGAGAGGGGATGAAGGCAGAGGTTGGAAAACAGGGTTACATATGGTTATTCGTTCTGTTAAAATCACAGTCTCAGAAGCTCAATTCACATTCATATTTAAAACACTAGTTACAAAAAAAAACCCTACGTCTATCATGATTCAGTTTCAGAATCCAACTAAACTCATGCTTTTGTGAGCCCAAATTAAAAACTGAAATTTGTATTAACTCATAATTAATTATGAAAGTCATCTCTTTACTTCTACAACATGTTATGAGATAGGGAACAACTGCTGTACCTTCCTCTAATCACTCCCTTTGCTCTAAAAAGTCAAGTACTTCAGAAAGCTTCATGTAACAGAATGTTAGTGCCACGTTTCAGAAAGACTTACAGGTAAAATGCATATTCTACTGGGTTTTATTTCCCACTAATTTTCTCTATAAAGTTAGAGAGATGTTCCTTTAGAGAACTATCTTAAAAAATGTAATACTGTGATATGTAAAAATACAGTAAACTTTTTAAAATCTCTTTTTTAAGGAAATGATAAAACTTTGGTACTATAATATTCTAAGTATGTTCCAAATAACCAATAATCAAAAGCTGTGAGCTTAGACCTGAGGTCAAATCCTAGTTTATTCACATATTGGTAGTGGGTAATTTTTGGCAAGTTGTTA